AGCTTCCGATATAGAAGAAAAAATGAGAGAGTTGCCACCTGTGTTTAAAATTTCAGTTTAGGTCAATTGATACGGTAAAGTGAATACTGCAATAGGGCTGTTTAAAGAAAGAAATTTTCAGAGGCTTACAGCTAAAAATATTTTTGTGGAAGGTTTCCACCTATTTGAAAACTTTAATATAATTTAATTGATAGCATAAATTGAATATTGCAATATTGGCATCAAACTAAAGAGGCTAGGAAATTTTAATGCTGAAAATATATTTAGGGGATTTGCCAACTGATTGAAAAATTGTATTCATTAAAATTTTTAAAATAAATTAAATATTGCAATATGAACATTAAACTAAAAACGATTAGGAAGCTTACTTTTGAAAATATTCTTGAAGCGGTTTGCCACTTATTTGAAAATTTTAATTCAGTTAAATTTATAGTATAAACTAAGTGTTGCCATATGGGTATCAAACGAGAGTATTTGAGAATAATAAAATTGCAACAGTCCGATATCTGTACATAATAGATGTTAAAGAAAAATTAATAGGGGGTTTATAAGATCAACAGAAGCCAAATATAATATTTTGGTATGTTTGTCTGTATGTTTGTAAGCGTATCACGCAAAAGCTAATGTATGGAATTAAATGCAGTTTTCACCGATGTACGTATTGCTAGAGCTCTATTTGAAAATATAGAATCCATTTTTTTTTTGTTTTAGTTTATCGTCGATCATTATTCCTAGGTATTTGAACGTATTAACTTTTTCCAGTGCGTCGTTGTTCATATTTAGAGTTAGCAACGGACCGTTCTCAAAATTTCGCCTTGATATAACCACAAACTTAATTTTTTTTATTTCTGTGTGGAAGGTTTTTCGCTAAAAAAAAATTAAAACTTTTCGTTGTAGCTGCCAAAAAATTAACAAATCTGAGACGTCACGTTTTACAATTTCATACAGTTCTCTTTAAAATGTATTTCACTAAACTACTAAACGGCTGCACCGACTTGGTTCATATTTGGCAACACCTTGAAAATAAATATTCTGACCAAAAATTTACTCGGTGTGTAGCTCGGGATATTCCTAACATTCTTATACAGACTATAACGTAAAAAACAAATATATCTCTATAACCAATTACGCTGGGGAACTGAAGCTTAGCACTAATGCATATATTGCAAATGCATTGGGAAGGGGGGCGTGGCTCCTTCCTTCCATACAAACTGAACTTCTCATATAGCTTATCTCTGGAACTGCTGACGCTAACGTCCTGAAATTCTACACAGCTACATATGTTATCAATACCGTAGTTATGGCGAAAAGTGGTAATTATTGGAAAGGCTGGATCGATATACATTTACAAAAACGCGCAAGTATCATTCGATTGGGAATCACTTTCTCCTAGATTTCCAAATCCCATTGGACTATTGTAACTTTGTCTTTAATTTTCAGTAAGGTAAAATTTATGTGAAAATTTTGAAGAATTTTTTTAAATTTTTAACAAAGAATGGAGCTTTGCTTTTACGACTTTCCCTATAAACTGTCCTATCTACATACCTATTTACATAAAATGATAGACGTTTTCGTTGTTCGGCCTAAATTCAAAAACCACTGAATAGAGTTCCGTCAGATTGTTGGAGGTTATCTTACATACATATATGGTCCAATTACATGCTACTAGAAAACTCGCAAGGTGGTGCTGGAGTAGAGTTATTTATAAAAATTTTTTTTATTAACCGATTTCGTTCAAATTTTAAATTTGAGCTATATACCTGTATGATGGAAAATTCTTTTGATAAAAATTTACCTGATTAGTGCCGCTGGAGTTAAGGTTGAAATTCATAACACGTATTCATTTTATGGTAAGCAATGGTTTTGCAGAAAAAGAACCCAATGGGTGGCGCTGCAGCCGAAATGTATAGAAACCCCGTGTGGTTGGTCTGCTTTGGCCATATGTTTAAGTTATATATATTTAGTTTTCAGATGTCTAAATGAAGGATGGGGTTATGTTTTTCTGGCGCCCTCATGCACGATCATGCGGTCTTGCATCTACCCAGAAATCAGTTCATAAATTTTACTACGAATTGTAAAAGTGGTGAATTAACAAGGATAGATCACCGTAGGTATATCAATTGTTTCATTTAAAAGATACTTAAGA